ACACACACACACACACACACACACACACACAAAAAACAATGTTTGACACTTAAGGTGCAACATCAAGAAGACACAGAGAGAAGCGTTTTGCTGTTGTAAGATGTCAGTGTTTTTAAGTATTTATTTGTCAGTGGGCTGTTTCCTGCATGTGTCATTTTTCTGTCAATGTAGAATGTTTTCTGGAGGAATGAATTTAGTTTTAGTGTTCGGATCACCACCATTGCTATGTTAGTTTTTGGGAGAAAAATACGTGAAGTGGAAAAACTACGGGGGAAAAAACGTCTCTGATACGTGAAAGAGTAAAGGTGAACGCATCGAGGACCGATTTTGACCAATTTCATTTAAGCATGTAAAAATGAACTTGGTGAAAAAAGACACTTTTTGCACATCAGGTCATTTTATTTTCAGTTTTTTTTTTGTTTGTTTTTTTTTTTTTGCACACTTAAACAGACTTTCAGGCATATTGTGGAAATATGCTGTGAAACTTTAAATTATTCTCCACGTGCAAACGTTCACAAACTTAAGGGTTAAAATGATTAATCCATTAATCCAAGCATATCTTAGAGAAGATTAATCTCATTAGTTTTCTTATTTATGATGTAAATATAAGTACACAAAGAACTTTTGCAAAACGAGTGACAAGATTATTTATTAATTGGTTCAAAAAGTCTCTTAAATATGAATACAGTTTCCAAACAAGCAAAACGTCATTTGAGTTTTGTTTCTTTTTTTCTTTTTGTCCAATTAAACACACACAATGCTRCTGCCTCAACAAGCTGGTATTCAGATATAATGTACATACAGATTATGTATAGTGGTCTATAAGTTTAATAGCTGTGTATTTTCTTGGGTTTCAATGTACTTATTAGTGCTTTATTTTGTAAAATACAACAAAAAAAAGAAAGATGACTTAAAAATTGTCTCTAATCTGTTCTTTTTACGTTTCTTTGGTTAAAACTGGTGTAAAATCATCAATGTGAACTGAAGGCTGGTCACAAATAGTTTTTATAACGTTTTACTTTTTAGTGTAAAATCTGAATAATTGCATATGAAACTAAAACTTAATCAGGTTTTAATGATAACCATGTGATTAGAAAGTAGCATATTTTTCTAGGACAGTGAGTGCTTATTAATTATATGATCTAGAGTGAATATTATCTGATAAGAAAACAAAAATAGTCTCATTGGTTGTAAAGATTGCACATGCATTCTGTTTGCAAAGGTATCAACATTACTTTGTTACAGTACTTATGTAATTTTTTTGAGGATTTGTAATTTTACCAAGTATTTTTAATATTTTTTTKAAATTTAGGTGCGTTCAAATTTTTTTTACTTCTTTACTTACTTTTTTAGCGTTACACGCCACGAGTTTATATATAACCAGAACTCAACATGAAAGGAGTTGTTTATGCACTCTAAAAAATGAAGTGAATTTATTTACCCAGGTCCTGTTAACTGGTTCCTCCACTGCGAAAAATGTCCACCTAACCAAGTTTTAAAATCTTATATCCAGCCAAAAATTCCTTTTGATCTTGTTTTGAGACTGATTTACTAAACAAGAACTGATTATAAGAGAATAATCATCTTGTTTTCAGAATGTGTAAGATTATTTGTCTTGTTAGTCTGAAAATTTGACTCAAATTAAGTCAAAATTTTCTGCCAACGGAGTAAAAAAATTTACTTGGTAAAATTCTTGAAATACTTGATTTGAGTCCATTTTTCTTATTTCAAGGATCTTCCCAAGTAAAATTTTCTTATTCCATTGGCWGAAATTTTTTGACTTAATTTGAGTCAAACTTTCAGACTAACGACAAATAATCTTACACAATCTGAAAACAAGATTATTATTCTTAAATCAGTTCTTGTTTAGTAAATCAGTCTCAAAACAAGATCAAAAAGACTTTTTGGCTGATATAAGGTTTTAAAACTTGGTAAGATGGGCAGTTTTTTGCAGTGTGAACCCAGTTGAGCTTTATGTTTCAACTTAGTGAAACCAGTTGACATAACTTGGTTAATTCAACAATCTGTTTTTTGAGTTACTTTCCTGGCTGTTGTGAGCAATTTTATGACTTTTACTATAATACTTTTCTTACCAGTGAAATTCATGTTTTACCAAAGTCATTTTCTGTTAAGGTATTTTTACGTTTTTTTTCTCCCAGTACTTTATACACCTCTGCCTGTTYGGAGCCAACTAACCATTATTTTTCAGCAATTGTTTTGATCCATAAATCTCCCAGCAGCTGTCAATCTCCAAGAGCTTGGATTAATTATAGTAAAATGACTATAATGATTTATTGTAAAACTACAACTGCAGTGGTATGAATGCTGCAATTATTTTCCATGTATGTAAAAAAAAAAGATCATAAATTTGGTTTTAGTTGAACAGTTTTTACATTCATCACAGCGAGGGAACACATGAGTTTTTAGAAAGGTGTTTTGCTTCTAATAGATGTTTTGCCAGACTTCGCTGGATAAACAGAATACATGTAAAACAGCAAAATATTCCGTTTGGCAATTAAAGCAGGAACTTGTTGGTCAAATATCCAGAACAAATCATTACAACAGCAAATCACCACTTTGAGTTTTCCAGGCACTTGCAGCAACACGTTTTCTCCGTTTGAAGCAGCACATTTAGCCACCCTGACCTTTGCTCTGGGGCAGTTTTTYCCCCTGCGGTTCTTTTAATGTATGCAAGTCACTGACATGTAGAGGTGGAGAACCTGCCTGCTGGACTGTCTGAACTGAGAGAGACCTGGACACAGTCCGGGCCTGAACGCAGACCTCTCATCAGTCACTGCTGACGTGACTTTGTGATGGTCTGCCAGATATTCCTGCTGCTGTCGTTACGGGAGGCAAAACCACTCTAACGCTCAGCTGCTGACATCATCAGGGTTTATGAACAGTGTGTGTGTGTGTGTGTGTGGATGAGTGTGTGAGTGTGCCTTCACTGTTAAAATTCTTCAATAATCAGAGCGTTTTTCTCTCAAAACACCGAGGCTTTCGCCTGATGTGCCCTGAAGGCTTTCACATGTAGAGGCAGTTACAAATGAGGCCAAACACTGGGCTTGTTGCCCAGACTTTACACTCCAGCACACACCTCCCTGACTACTTTGTGCCTCCTCAGCCCAGATCTTCCCTCACTCGCTCTAAAGAAAGAAACAGTCGATTGTGTTGTCGAAGGAGAGAAGAGCAGGACTGTGTGTCCTCTCACAACACTAAACATTTAGTGTTTTCACAACCTTAAAGGACACACTTTAAAAGTGTTATTAATTTATTAAGAAC